TTACTACTACTACTACTACTACTCGTCTACTCTACTCTCTCTCTCTTTTTTTTTTTTTTTTTCTTTTTTTCTATTCCTCTTCTTCTTCTTCTTCTCCTCCTCCTCCTCCTCCTCCTTCTCTTTGCAAAAGTAATCCACACTCATAAAAATGTAAACATTACAAAAATATGTATACCGCCCCCAGAGATCGCCACTGGTAATCTTTGGCACATATTCCTCCACATGTTTTGCTATGAATATATTAACATTAAAAACATTTTTAAATGGAAGCATTTAAGAGATACTCTTTTGCAGTTAGCTTTTTTCCACTTAAACCATCAGGGATGTCTTTCCATGGTAGAAAATATAGATCTATCTCATTCCATTTATTAGCAACATTTTCTAAAATATGGACATGTCATTTGTTTAAACATTTTTACCTTGATGGATGTAGATTATTTCCACTTTTTTAATACAAGCAAACAAGGCTCCAGTTAACATCCTTGTACATGGCGCTTTGGTATATGTGCAAATATTGCTGTAAAATAGATTCTTAGAAGTGGACTTGCTGGGTCAAAATGTCAGCACATTGCTAAAGTCCCCTCCAAAAAATTATACCAATTCACATTCTCATCATTGGGGTTTGGCCCTTGACATAAATAAAGATTCTGCAATGTTTCTCCATTTTTCTCCCTTGCAGGCTTTCACACATAATTGATTTTCAGTGATTTTCATTTTTATAAACACATTCTTTCCTGATAATGCAAAAGCACCAGCTGGAAATTTCCATCACGTTCCTGAGTGCATTTCTCTTCTCCCCAGGAAGAGGCAGAAGCAATGTAGCAGAGAACACATTTGTATTCTTCAGCAGAAATCTCCCTGCTATCCTAGCAGCTCACCCACTTCCTTTTAAATCACCATGGCTTGCTAAGTTAGAAGCTATTGAAAAGCCCTCATGTTCTATTTAATTGCTTTAGGGTTCTACGCACTCTCACACCAGTGAAATAAAAACATTGGGGAGCCATTTTAAAATACAGATAAATGCCACGTGATTTGAGTGAATGGTGAGCCTCCTCTTTCTGATTTATCCAGCTGTTGGCTTTGTACTCCTTAACAATGACCTTGTCAGGCTAGGAGAATATTCGCCTATTCCATTTTTTTAAAAAAGCCTTGTAAAATCTCTAGAACTTTTATGCCTTGGTTTTTCTTTTAATCAATGTTTAAATAAAGGATACACATTATTTGGGAAAAGAATGTCCAAGCTCTGTGATTCTGATGATTAACCACGTATTCAACTTACCTGCTAACAGAGGTAAAGGAGAGGGGTCTTGATCTCTGTCTCATCAGAGGTGGGTCCCCCTGCCACACCTGTCCATTCTCAGTTGATTGATGTGTCATGACTGGGCCAGACCGAGAGCATCTTTCACACAGCTTTAGTCTCTGATCAGGGGCCCTAAAGTATCCCCTGAGTTTGAATCTGGGCCCCAGGAGTTAATAGCTGTGTGACTCTTTGTGCCTTCTTTTCCTCATTTGTAGAACGGGCACACGAATAACACCTGCCTTATAGGATTGTTGGGACAGCCAATGAGATAGTATCCAGAAAGGTCAGAGGCTGACGTAAGAGTAAGCTCAGTAATTGTTCTCCCCCCTATTGAATTCTTAAGAGACAATGTGCAAGAGGAATTAAGAAGCAAAACTACACCTAGTATCTCTCTGGCACTTAGCATTTTACACAAAGAACTTTTCCAGATGTGATTTTATTTAATCTTACATCCTGAGAAATGAGTGGTTACTAGTCCAATTTGACAGATGGGTTAACTGAAGCGTTGAAAAATGAAGTGATTTGCTTGAAGTCACAGAGCTAACACCAGCCCCTACCAATACAGTCTCCAAGTCTAATCTTCTCCTCCTGTATCATAAAAATAACGCAAGCTGTTGACTATCCTGTGGGATTCATTGACTCATTCATTTTCTCATTGAAGTCTTCCTCATACCCCCAGCTCAAATATTACCTCCTTCTAATCAGAAGTAATTGCTCCATCCTCCGTGCCCACATAAACTTTGCTTATAGGTCTGCAGCCCTGGTCTTAAATATCAGATGCGTCCATCAAGAACAGCCATGAAGGCTTGGGGGCTCTGAGGTTAGGGACCAAATGTTGTTTATCTTTCTACCCTTGAGTGCCTAGCACATGCCTGAAACAAAATTTCTGCAGTTGAGGACGTCATAGGCTTATGACAAAAATAAGCCACGTATACAAAGCAATTACAGTAAAATACAGAGGTGGTCTGTACCACAGCTGTGGTAAGACAGTGCTTCAAGGTTTCTGGGAAAGCTTCTTGGTGGCAGTGTTGGAGGTGTTGGGAGGAGGGAAGGTGACATTTGGGCTAGGTCCTGAAAGATGACCAGCAATTCATCAGATAGGAAAGAGTAATGAAAACATTCTAGAGAGAAAGAACAATCTCTCCATTAGGTCTTGAAATTCTCACTCTGGGAGGACACTATGTTTTCCCATAATGTTCTAGATCACAGACTCTTATAGTACCAAAGAAATGAATGAATAATGGTAGAATTTTAGGGAACTGTGCAGGTTTCTCATCTGAGAAGAGTATAATATAGTGGTCAAGAGTGTGGACTCTGGATCCA